ACACTGTACACGCACTTCTAATGCTGCACCTGTTACACTGTACCTCTGAATGGCTTAAATACATCTGTCTCTCCTATGAGAACACTTACTTCTAAGCCAGGTGAACTGCAGGAAAACCCTCTGCGGTAGAACCAATGTATATATATATACTGATAGACATATAACAAATATATATATATGCATATAGAACCTATATATATATAAAATCACTTCCATCTATTAAGAGAGATGGATATTTATTTTGAGACCCACAAGATTATGGAGGCTTGGTAAGTCCAGCAGGACAGGCTGGTGGGCTAGAGACCCAGGTTGCAGGTCAAATCCAAACCCAAAGGCATTTTTCTAGCAGATTTCCCTCTTCTTCCAGGTAGATGAGTTGGTTTTTTTTTTTTCTATTAAGTCTACAGATTTGTTAATCTCATCCAGAAAACACCTTCACAAACACATCAAGAATAGTGTTTAACCAAGTATCTGGGTACTGTGGCCCAGCCAAATCAACACACAAAATTAATCATCACAACCTCTGAGCCCTGCAGAGATCAGGCGGTAAAACCAGAAAGGCCGAGTCAGGAAGGGAGTGATGTGGAGCAGGCACTCCCCAGCACCTTGCATCCTGCTGAGCCACCCGATGACAGAGTGACTGAGGTGCTGTCCCTGCATGGGATGCAGACAGATGGTGATGGGGCCCAGGACTGCAAAGCACATCCACTGTCCTGGTCACTCAACTATCTGTAACTGGGAGTCCACAGGCCCACAGCTGGAGCCTGGGGCAAGCCTGACCAGGGGGAGCGCGACAAGCTTGGAGGCACAGTGTTGAATACTCAACCAAACCAAGGCGCCGGGGACCCCACCTCCAGGTCCATCAGCATCCACAGTGTATGTGGAAAGTGCCTTTGCTCACAGGGAACTCACTCTTTCTACGTGCTAGTGTATCATCCCCCAGGCTAAGACCTATGTGCCCAGATGCCTGGGATGATGAAAAAGTTCTGGAAATGGATGGTGGTACTGGCTGCACAACATTGTGAATAAACTTCATGCCACTGACTAGACACTTACAAATGGCTAAAATGGTAAATTGTACATGCTGCGCATATTGTGCCACAATAAAAAAGATAATGCTCCTTGAGGACAGGCCCACGCCTTTCCTTAACCCCCACAATACACAATACATAATCCATTCCTCACCATTCCTTCTATTAGAGTTGACCAGATTGTCAAAGACAAAAGGCTTGGGGCCTACTGGCGGTAACTGACTTCACAGAGCAACGTGAATGGCCTGGAGTGTCACAGGCCGGTGTCTCCACGTGCGGATTCACGGTCAAGTGATTGGTGCATGGCAGAACACCAAGATAGACATTTTGGATGGAAGGACTTTTAAGGTAAGTGGACCTGCAGGACTGCTCCACGGAGGCCAAGTGGGAGCCCAGGTCCAGCAGTCTGAGCCAGCACCTCCGTAAGAGCTTGCCGGAGGAAGGTTTGGAAGAGAGCCACCAACACAAGGGTCCCACCTGCTCTCTGCAGCTCCCAGAGCTCAGCGGCCTCATCCGCTGCTTCTTCCTCCTGCAAACTTTTTACCCCCACCTCCTGCACTCTCAGAAATGAACAATATGAACCCCTTAACTTCCAGAATGAATCCATATAATCTCTCCTTCTACCTCCCTCCTATCACATCCTTCCCTACAGTCCTTTCCTGGGAAAATACTGAAAACTACCGGAGTTCTTCTAAACAACCATCACCGTTAGTAGTAGTAGTAGTATTATTTAAAGATTTTATTTATTTGAGAGAGAGCGAGCACACAAGTGGGAGTGGCAGAGGGAGAGAGAATCTTAAGCAGACTCCCTGCTGAAGGTGGAGCCCGACATGGGGCTTGATCCCACGACCCTGAGATCACGACCTCAGCCGAAACCAAGAGCTGGATGCTCAACCCACTGCACCACCCAGGCGCCCGGTATTATTATTCTTGTCTAGCCGTTGGCTCCCCCTCCTCACCCAGATGCCCTTGTGGGGAGAAAGGCCTCACATCTGAGGCACAGGATGAGCTGGCTGTGCTGAGCTCCTGATTCTTTCCCACCAACCTTTCCTGAGCCACAGAGAAATCACTGACCAATGTGGAACTTTCTTCCCCTCACTATCCCTTTACCCAGAATGTTTCAAGCAGAGCTAACCCTCAGCCTGACCGTGCTTCAGAAGGATGCAGTCCAGCCAACGAAAGTGGAGTCTTGGTGCAATGAAACAGCCAAGCCGAAGCAAGACCTTGGTTTCTGCTAGAAACCCACCTATACATCCACTGTTCCTTCAAGACATCAGCTCAGTCTGTGCCTCAGTACCTGGAAGAGAGCTGTCTGGCCAGCTCTGTGGGCCCAAACTGGTAGGCCCTGGGTCGTTTATGTCAGTGCATAATGAACCACCACAGAAGCTCAGTGGCATGTGGAAAAGGTCCCAAAGCTCGTGGGTTTTCAGACCTCAGGGATGGAGCCTGGACACTCTCTCATGGGCAGAGCGGAGAAGCCCAAGGAGAATCCTGCACGTCTGCTCTGGTTTCTCTATGCATCACTCCAGCTTGCATCCTGCTGGCCGCAGCAAAACATGCAGCCAACCTCAGAAAGCCATGGGTGGGCAGACTGCTACCGAGGGAAAGCAGCAGAATGGCAAAAGGCCTTCCATGCCGGAAGCTGGCCTCAGTCTCCCACAGGCTCAGCAACTGGGCTTCTCTGTTGACTAGTCATGGAGGAGAAGAATGTCTTTGACAAACTAAAATGAAGACACTGTTCTTGTGTCTACAACCCCACATGGCATTTGCAAAGAGGGGAACCACAGGACCTTGCAGCAGCAGGGACCTCGCTGGTTAGTGACCCTACCCCCTCCCTCTGTGGGGAGGATGCTCGGATCCAGAGCCATTCTGGAAACTGGTTGAGTTCATTCTGGAACTGGCAAGAGCCGGGACCCCTGCCAGCCCCTCAGGACGAGGAGGGCAGAGGCAGCCCAGGATCATGGGACAGAAGCAGCAAGAAGTGCCGACTCTGCGCGGCCCAGCACAAACCTCAGCAGGCACCCCAAGTGGGCACCGGGGAGGAGGACCACCCACCCTCCGGCGCTCGTGCTGCACAGGCTGTTGGGAGACACGGGGGATGGAGGCGAGCGAGCTCTTCTGGGGAAGGGGCTGCTCCACCCAGCTTTGCTCGCCCCACCTACCTGCCCAAGCTGCTGACTTTCAAAACTCATCAGACCAGGCTCAGGACGTGGAGAACCAAGGACAGGGGAACTAAAGAGAAATGTGAAACCAAAGAGAACCATGCCCAGGCCACATGGTGGCTCCCCTCTGTGCTCTGGCTTGTCACAGGCAAGGTGTCCTTCCCCGCTTGCTGCCCACCACAGGCCCCTCCCCATGGACCAGGGAACAAAGAGAGGCACTGGGGATGGTTCTCGCTCTACCGTCATGGGACAGCCTGTGGCCGAAGGATAACCCCTTGTTGCCCCGGTCACGGTGCAGAGCTCGACTGCTGCTCACTTCTGGCTTCTAAGTGCAGCCCCTCACCGGGCAGCAAAGTCTCCTAGAATCACAGCGTTCTAGAAACAAAAGGAAACTTCAAAGTACCCATCCAGCCTTTTTATAGATGGGGATTTTATAGAAGTCAGGCAAAGCCTGTCCCGGGGAAGATCTGTGGCCTTGCCAGGTAGTTAGTGGGCATGATTTCTGGCCACCGAGTGCTCCCAGTAAAAAGGCAGTGGTGTAGACGCACGCACGCACGCAGAACCCACGCGGGAGCATCTGTTCACAAGCCACACGGGCAGATGTCTGAGGACGCAGGGCTATGTTTCCACGTCCCAGTGCCTGGCACAATGCTGCAGGGGACAGGTGCTCGGGAAGTACTTACTCAAAGGAGGACCAATGTTCCTTAGGAGGGTGAACCTCCCACCCCTGTCCCCAGTGAGCGTCACTGAAAAGGACACTACTGAGGTGGCAGGAGCTACTGGAGGCTGTGCAGGGACAGAGGGGCCCAGGCTGCGGATCCAGAGTAGATCCCGCTCTGGGACAGGTCCACTGTGGCAACTGCCTGAAGCCTATGCCCAAGCGGATTCAAATCTGGGCTCCAGCTGGGGACTAGCCCCAGCCCAAGCTGAAGGTCCCCCAGGCCTGCAGGGAGAGAATGGGATGCTCCTTCTTAGCAGCCACGTTTGCCTAAAGCACGTGCACTTTCCTTACTGTGGTGAGGAGATGCCAAACTGAGTCTTCCCACGACTCCTCCTCTGGCTCCGGGGGGAAGGGAATGCGGAACCCCTGTGCCTCGGGTCTGGGCCAGCAGCCGGGCGAGGGCGGTGAGATGGGGTCAGCTGGGACCGCAGGGCTGGCAGGTCTGACAGATGGGAGAGGGTGTCCCAGGCGGCATGGCAGGAGAAAACAGCCCGGGGCCAGGAGCTGTCACTTAGGTGCCACGTTCTGGCGTTGGCCAGCCCCCAGCTTCTCCTTTTGTGCATGCCGCACCCTGGCTGATCCCGGCAGCCGAACACCTGACATTTCCCCCCTCTACTGAAAGCCACGTCCGTGTCTGCCTGGAGCGGAGCAGAGCCTGCGCTCCTGGTGGAGGCTAATTTAACCAGCTGGCTGTTGGTGGCCCCTGAAGAAGGCTTCCTCAGTACGGGATGGGGGGACAGGGGTGGGAGGGGTCTTCTGGGACCACCACACAGCCTGTCCTCAGAGAGATGGTAGTCACCTCTTGTGATCGGCTCTTTTGGTGAAGCTTCTGGCTGACACGGTCAGGGCCTGAGCTTTGATCAGCGTTTACCGTTGTTATTGGACCACAAGGGCTGGACAGAACAGGAAGAACATGCGGGACAGTGCTGGCTGCCCCAGAGCCCCCGTGAGGAGCCCCAGCCCAGTCCCCGCCTCCGTGACAGTTCCTGGGGAAAGCCCAGGGAAAGGGTGAGTGAGCAAGCTCAGCAGTTCCCAAATGAGCCGAGTCCCCTTGACTGGCCTCCCTGGGCCCGTCCCCGGGCTCACCTGGATAATGAAGCCGGTGGAGGAACACTGCCTGACCCAGAGGCTGAATTTCCGCTTTTTCCTCTTTCGGAGTTCCCGCTCCGTGCACGTGGCAATGAACACAGGGTCCTCGTCAATCAGGGGTTCATGTAGCACCTGCCAGAAACGAAACAGCAGAGATGCTCACAGAAGGCAGCGTGAGCTCGGGGGTGGGGTCATCAGATCTGCGCTCCAATCGAGTCCCCGCCTTTGACCAGCTGTGTGACCTAAGTCACTTTACCTCTCTGATCCTGAGTCTCCTCATCAGTAACAGGGTAACATCTACATCAGTGTTTTGGGGAGGACAAAGCAAGAAACCATACGCAAGGGCCTGAGCATGGGCCCTGACATACAGCAGGTGTTCAGTAAATGGAAATTTAAAAAGTAATTTTATTTTTATTTTATGTATTTATAAAACAATACATATTTAATGTATTATTTATATATTTTAATGTATTTATAATTATCCTATTATAATTACAATAATAATAATCATTACCATTGCCCAAGGTCCCCAGTGCAAACTCTCACTTGGTAGAGGGATCTCCAGGGGTCCTGACTTCTGGCGGGGCATGCCCACTTCTTTTGAGGAAAGCCCTTTCTGACGGACAGCTGCAACTGCTAAAAAGTCCTTCCCCTCACGGATTCAAAATCTACCTACATTTAATCTGACTTCTGCCCCTGTAAGAAACAAAGAAAAACACACACTATTTCTTTAGGTATTCAAGACCGCTCTCACACTGGCCCACAACCTCCTTTTTCTGCCAGGGCTGAACAATGTCTCCTTAAAATCTGCCCTGAAATGAACCCAGTGCCTTGTGGTCTTGTTGCCATGACCTGGCCTCTGGCCTTCCTCCACAGTCATGTCCTTCCAGACATGGGATTCCCAAGGCAATTTTTAAACTTATTTCACCTATTCCAATTTCTTTAAGATAATGTGGTTGTAAGACGTTTTCAATAAGACTATAAAGTAAAAAGAAATGGCCTAACAAAACCAGGCTCCACAGGGTGGTCAAAGTTTCGCTTCTTCAAGCTAAAGCTTTTCTGGGGAGACTTTTTGGTAAATTTAGGAATCTGCTACACTTCTCCCCCTAGTCCTATTTCAAGCTTAATTATGAATTGGCATATGTGTCTGAATTTCATTGAAATGAAGAATATGGGAAATGATAGGATTCCAAGAACCCTACCTGATGCCCTAGAGCAAACTATGGTAGAGTCTGGCTCACCACCCTGTTCTAATTAAGAGTTTTATTGAGATCTGATATTATTGTCAACGGCCACTCCTGGACTACAATAGCAAATCGGACAAGATGCAGCAGAGACCATCTGGCCATTGACAGAAAAAGTGTTCTAACCCCTGCTCTCCACCAGGGCTTTTGGAACTTTAATGAACAAACCAGGCACCCGGGATCTCCCTGAAAGGCGAATTCTGATCTAGTCTGTTTGGGGCAGGGCCCGAGCTTCTGCATTTCCAACAAGCTCCCAGGTGATGTCAGAACACGCTCTGACAAGGGCAGACTGGAGGACAATCCTTAGCAACCTGTGATTTGGATCCTATCCTCCCATCCTTCCATTAGCGCTCCCCTGAATTCCATTCAAAAAACAACAGACTCACAGTGTTCAGTCTGGGCCCCAGACTGTTCTGTTGTTGGAAGCATGCAGATATTAAGCCTAGCCTCCCCGTCGTATGCTCATGAAGGGGAGGCCGGAGAAGCTGTCTGACCACAGTGCCTTGCTGACTCTGTGGGCTCATAAAACATTCAAAGCCCCATCTGAAACCACTGTAGCAAAATGGACAAGTCCCACACAGTGCGGGGACATTGAGCTGGGGGGGGTGGCGATGGTAGAAAGAAGCCCTTTGGCTGCCTGCCTGTTCCCTGCTCAAGTCCCCCAGCTCAAGAAGCAGGTCCTACTCAGCCCCCTGTGAAGGACAGTACATAAAACTGCCCTTGCTCCCTCCTTCTTCTTCAGGAAGCCAACATGCCTCTAGTCCGTGTGTATTTATGCAGAATCAGCTGCACATTTATGTTTCATCACCTGCCTCACCGAAGCAAACTGCATGAGAGCGTTCCTGCCAGAAAACCACTCCCTTCTCCTCCAGGCTGCAGGCCAGCCCACAGCTCTGTTACCCAGCTGTGTTTCCTGAGTCCTCTTCTCCATATGACAAGCTCATTTTGGGGTGTGGAGTGGTTATGGTAGAGGAAAAACAAAGCATCCATTTACCTACTTGCATAAGCCCTTCCCGAAAATATTCTTCTAATGAATCTGCCCCCAGTTTTGAGGAAATGCGGTGTCTCCCCTGCATTTGTGTATAAACATGCATGTGGGCACACACAGGACACCAGGCCATGTGGGCTACTATTAGACTCTGAGAACCATCAGGTTTCTGAAGGCTCTGTGAAAGTTCTAAACTCATCCCAGAGGGTCACATTTGCTGGAACAGAAAGGCTCCAGAGATGGCAGGGCAGAGGGGGCGTGTGGTTTGCCTGGCAAGTGCACCATGTGTTTCGAGGGTGGAATGTGTGTGAGAGTGCAGGATGCAGAGCGATGCCCGGGAGCCTGGAGCAGACCCAGCCACACATGATGGAGAACCGTGCCAACGGCCCTCAGCAGGCAGAGTGAAGACCCTTCACAGGGGCCCTGAGGCTCCGGCATGGCAGATGGCCACTCTCAACCGAATGCACTGTTCAATCCCCTTCTACCTGAATGAATGATCCAGAGTCTAGTCAGGGGCTTTTCACAGAGGAGGAAAGGTGGAAAACCAGGAAACCTTTAGAATTTCCAGCTTCTCCCATCAAGGATCAGAACAGGAACCTTTTCTACGAGGCAGAAGCATCTCTGAGAAGAAGAGTAAGTGTAGGAACCAAGCACAATGTGGCTGATGCTGGGGGCCGAAGGAAAGCGCCCCCACCCCAGGGCAAGCTCACAGGAGGCTACGGTCCAGTTCCACATAGAAAGGCTAGTGCTTTCCGGTGCGCACAGGGTCAAGCTGCTTATCTGCAAAGGAAGGGGTACAAGCACTTATAGGAACCCCTGGCTAACAGGAAGGCCTAATCATGTTCAAAATCAATCATACACTGCAGTTCATGAGTGCATCTCCTTTGGTTGACCCTGCTCCTGTCTGCTGATCCAGGGCTGGCCCAGCGGGGCCCACAGTCAGGAGGGAAATGGAAGAGGAGAATTCTGTGTGATTATCAGCCAACTGGAAAACTGGTCCAAGGGATCTTTTACTTTCCTGCTGCCTCATGTCCCTGTCTGTGGGGTGGTGTCCCGGGTATTCTGTTTGCCCGGGTAAGATGCACTTACCACCCTTCCCACCCCACTGTGGCCTGGACGCCAACCTCTTACAAACATCACCACCCAGGCCCCTGGCCCGGTGTTGGACTTGTTTTGGCCAACTTGGAGGTAGGAGAAAGACATGGAAGAGGCCCCCCGCCTGCCTGCACCGTCACCTCCGTGTTCCCACACACACCCCCTCTCTCCCCGGCCCACGGCTAACCTGGGTTTCCCACTGTCATTACCAGCCCAGTCATGTCCCCCCCACCCTGACCCCACGGCCGTCCACGGTCCCCGCATCCAATCCTCTTCAACTGCCCGTCTAGAACACAGGACTTGCTTCCTGCTGGGGTCCTGACCAACAGAGGGCACCGGATACAAATGGTAGCAAAAAGAAAACATAACTTCACAAATACAAAGGTAAAAATGAAAGTGAAATACAAAGTCTATTAAAAAAGAAAAAAGTAAAGAGGGGAAAAAACCCCCAACATGATGAGGGAGCCCTTCCCCAAACTGAGACTTAGGACCTTCTCTCAGCCTTGTCAACTGGATGCAAAAAGACGTGGGGTAAGAATAAAGAAAGTGTGTCTCCAGGCTCTTGGTGGTCCTCGCTGCACATCTGAGCCATAAAAGGGAGGAGGGCAGAACTGCCCATGCATGCTGCAGTCCAGCCACTGCTGGCTCGGGAAGGTGCTGGGCCCCCTCGGGGCACCCATGCCCAAGCTGGGAAGGGATGGGCTCACAATCTCAGATTTTGCTAGCAGGCACTGCCTTGTGCCCACAGGCTACCCCAGGCTCCAGACACACACATGCACGGTGATCGGCCTGGGTATGGGTCTCAGGTATCTGACACCACAGTTTCTGAAGGCAGGCAGCACAAGGCCAGCTCACCACACCACAAACAGGAGTATAACCCTGGATAAGCCTGGCCTAGTCGAGGGGCTAGAAGATCCTCAGCAACCTCATCTTTACGCTGTTAAGTATCAATCATCCAAGCAGCTGGTTGTTTGATTCTTAAGAGGTACTCAGCCGGAGCGAGCCCACAGCCTCTTCCAGGAGCTGTTCAAAGGTCTGGCCCCGAGGATGGTCAGAATACTGTTCTTTTCCCCTTGCATCCAGCCAGCAGGGCTCTGATCTGATTTGGTTCATTTTCAACCAAGCAAATATTCAGTGAAACAAAAAAATAACGTGCCCGGCCCTGTATTTGGTCCTGCGGGGCCTGTAAGGCAGGGCTTGTGTCCCAAAAAGAGCCCACCTCCACCTCCTGTTTGGAAGATAAGAGACACAACTGGGGACAAGGAAGAATGGGACTCAGCTGCCCTATAAATAGTGGGGGAATTCAGGAAAGCGGGACCAGCACAAGAATGCGGGCCTCGCACTGGGCCCTGGATACTGGGTACATCTGCTAAGGCAGAAAGAAGAGAGAAAAGCTTCCGGTAATCAGAAAGAGCATCCACCTGCAAATCATAATGAGCCCAGCATATTCACAGAACAGCGCGGGGGGACGCTTCCAAAGATTGTTTAAAGGCTCCCACAGACCTGAAATAGGGCGGTATCTTCCCCCACAGAAACCCTGTGATTTTTAGCTGCGCAGGGAAAGAGGCAAAATACAGAGTCAGGGAAAGGGAGAACATCAAAAAGAATGTGAGGATTATGAAGAAGGCCCTTAAAGGAAAAGCACGAGGAAGAGGAGGTGGACCAATGGCTCTTCAAATGTACAAATAAAAATGATGCCGATTTTTGTTTCCACACTGAACGGGTCAAATGGAATTGGGCTCCAGTGGGCCAAAAACTTCCTAAGGTTTTGGTTAGAGGCATCCCAGAAATAAGCCACCTCCTGAGTTTGCTAGACCAGTAGAGAGCAGTTTTGAGGACAGTTCTGAACCTCGTATCTCCCTGCAGCCAAGGGTACTAGCCACCTGTCAACACCAGAAGGCAGGGGCTCAGGAGCTGAGAGCAAACAGAGCCTTCTAGAACCAGGGAGGGAAGCTTGGAAGGGGGCCATAACAGCTAGGTGTGGGGCTCTAACAAACCGTGGTCCAAAAGCCCCGCCCTTGCCATGTGGACCCCAGGACCTGAGTGACTGCCAGTTACCTGAAGAGTGGGTTGAGATTCTGGCCTCCTTCCCTTAGCCACCTACAATGCTTCAGCCCGTCACCACCCACAGGGGACTACATACTCAGAGAACACAGGGAAGTTACCATTAGAGGTTCTTCATAGAAGAAAATTCACCTTAGCCTGGAAAACACATCATCTGGAAAGCCAGCGCCACTAAGGGGAGGGAGGATGCGGGCAAGGAAGAGGGAAACTGGGTCAGAGCAGAACCCCGCTTTCTGACTTCTCTGTGGCGGGGAGCTGTGAGTCTGGGGTGGGGCAGGAGAAGAGCAGGAGCACCCTCCAGGTGAGGGCCGCCATGGGGTGGGGGGGCCCAGGGGCAGGGGGCCCGGGGCACCCACACACGGGCCTCACCTGGGTTTGGGAAGGCCTGAAGGCAGAGTCGAAGCCGTTCTGCAGGGAGTCGAGGAAGGGCTGGACCTTGTAGAGGCCGTGCGTGGTCTGGCTGGAGCGGAAGGCCACCACGTGGAAGTACTTGAGGATCTTCTCGAAGCGGGCCTGGCTCATGACAAGGGCGAGGCTCCGGTTGCTGTAGAAGCCTCCGCTCCAGATGCTGAGGACCGACTCGCAGTGGGAGATGCTGGTGGAGATCATGTAGCCCAGGAACGCCTTCATCTCTGTCAGCGTCACCTCGGCCCAGGCGCCATCGCTGCCAAAGCGCTCCTGGAACTTCTTGGCATACATGTTTGTCTGCACCACCATGTTCTTGAGCACGTTGTCCGGGACGAAGAGCTGAAAGAAGTCCATGGCGCTGGCGCCGGGGGGCATCTTTCGGGTTGGACCTGAAACAGATGTGGGGCGGGTGGTTCGTGGCGACAAGCAGGGCAAGCAGCCGGGGCGGGCACTGGGGGCTCCGCGGGGTGCACCTCCCCCTGCGAGCCGGGGTCCCGGGGTCCCCCCCCACCGCACACCCCGTGCTCTCGCCCGGCCCACACAGACACCACTCCGCAGGGAAAGGGACGTGCGAGGGGCGGAAAGGCACTGACGCAAAGACACACCAATCCAGCCCAGGAGTCTGGCCGTGGCTTTCAAGCTTAAACTTTCTTGTAAGGCAAGGTGACTTCTCTAAGGAGGCTTTCACTCCTTAGGGCCTGAAATGCCCACCCAGGTGAGGTTGCCATCTTTCTGTCCTGGAACTGGACACATGGCAACTTGAAATTTATTGCTGAATCAATCTGAAGGGGCTCCTTTAGATAATTTCACCAATGTAATAAAAACCTCACAATTCTTGACTAATGCAGGGACAGCCATTTGAAATACACACACACACACACACACACACACCCCCTTAAGAGATACGGCTTTCAATTCCATATAGTGACTTAAGCCAGGCTAACAGTATGGAGGGATTTGTGAGAGACAAGTTTTTTTGTTTGTTTGTTTTTTGTTTTAAATCTCTTTCACCTAATCTCTATACCCAACCTGGGGCTCGAACTCATGACCCGAGACCCAGAGTCACATGCTCCACCGACTGAGCCAGCCAGATAACCCTTCAGGAGACAAACTTTGCAATTTCTAATAAAAGCTATGCGCGTTCTTCAGAACTTTAACCATCCCCCACCCCCAACCTTTTTCTACTACTGATTTAGGCACTCTGAAAAACAAGTTTTTCACAGCAAAATAAGAGAATGACAAGGCAGCCCAGGTTTTAGATGGGATAGAGTCGGGAGCCGAAACCCTGAATTTACTCGTAGCTAACTGCACAGTCTTAGATAAATACTTCATCTGCCCCACGTAGAAAATGGAACACCTGCTTTGCAAGGTGGTTGTGGAAACTTGGAAACCTTTACTGACACATTAGCAACAGAAATCCGGTGACTTGGGCTGAGGGCTTTCGAATGCTCTAACTGCCCTCATTTTATAGAAGAAAAAACTGAGGTCCAGAGAGCCAAGTGGTCACCATATTCACGGTCACCAACAATTTTTTGGAAGAGCATTGCTCTTGGCCGAGAGCTGCCGTGACACTGAGGCCAGGATCTAGAGGGGCCCCGGGTAGCAAGAACAGCCTGCAGCCCCACACCCACTCTTAGTGGAAATCATTGTATTTCAGCGAAGACTTACAGCCTCCAATGGGTGAAGCCATAAATTATTCAGGGGTAGCTCTCAAAGAGGAGGAAAACCAGCATTTTAATTGCTCCATCATGCTGAGTAAGCAGAAAGAAATTTTCTCTTCCAAAAGTTATCTTTAAAGTAATTCTGCCTCCCAGGCTATTTCAAAATCAATTCTCACAGCAAACTCTGCCCTGGCCAACTGGTTCAGGAAGCAACTGGGAAGTAGCCGGCTCCCGCTTATCTGTTTAGTTTGGATTTACAAGCATTCTCCACAGTCCCCTTCAGCTGTTGTGATGCTTCATATTTGAGAAGTGTTGGCACAGGCCAGTCACTGGGAAGGAAGGAGCCGGGGGGAGAAAATGCCATTCAGGAGATTCAATCTGTATCACCAACTTTGTAATATGACCATTTAATAATACGGCCCTGGGGGTGGGCAGCACCCCCAGCCAAGATAAGCCTCTCTTACATTTGATTCATTTATAGGAGCTTTTCCAGATATTACCCCACGTGATCCTCACAACATCCACGTGAAGCATCATCCCCTTCTGCAGGTGAGGAACTAGAAGGTCAGAAGTATAGGGACACAGCCCCAGGTCACTCACATCTAAGCGCCTTACAGTTACGGTGACCTTCATCCCACCTGGCCCACAGCCAGTCCAAGAGCACCTGCTGCCTGTTGTAATTATTTAAGTGTCCCTTCTGCTCTCACGAGCGGACAAGGAGGCATGTGGCTGTTCTCTGCAGTGTATATACATAACTTAAGCCACCAAGTCTTCAAACCCCACCAGCTCCCTCCACCTCTGCCATGCACACATTTCACAGTGGGTGATATAGGGTTACAGTGCACAGCCAGAAGAAACTCTGAAGGGATAGGGAGGACCTGCATTGTAAAAAATGCAAAGGCAGCACGGGACCAGGGGTGGGGATGGGGGGCAGGCTGGTAGGGAGGACCCAGAGGAGGAAGAGCAGTGCCCTTGGTGTCTGGGCTGGGGGTACAGGGCTCTGCATGTTGATGGTGTCGATGATGCATTGCCAGGTCATAAATTCATATAATCGTCTCCCTCCTCTCCCCCTGTTCACCCCCTCCCCACCCCACCATGTCACCCCTCGAGGCCCCATCACCATCACCCATCTGGTTCCCTCAGCCTACAGGGGATCACCTGCCCCCTCAGCCCCAGGATGTCACAGCAGGCCCACAGACCCGGGGTAGCGTTAAGAATGGTTCAGTAAGAGGCAACTGGGTGGCTCAGTTGGTTGAGCATCCGGCTCTTGGTTTCGGCTCAGGCCATGATCTCAGAGCGGTGGGATGGAGCCCCGAGTCGGTCTCTGTGCTCAGTGAAGAGTCTGCTTGCAATTCTCTCTCTCCCTCTGCCCTTCCTCCCCACCCCCCACTCTTTCTCGCTAAAATAAATAAATAAATCTTTAAAAAAAAAGAAAGAAAGAATTGGTTCACTAACACTCAGATCCTGCAGAGATTCCTCCCACCACCCCAAGCTAGGAACCGACCCCTCTTTTCAGGATCGACTACAAAAGCAGGTGACCTGTGTAGAAAGGGGACTGTAACACAAGGGCAGTTGTCAGTGAACACCTGAGTGTCATACTGATCCTGAGAACAGAAAGGAGTAAAAGCCGATATTTTCTTCCTGGGAGTCCTCGGTATAAAGACGGGAGCAGGCAGCAGGGAGTGACCCAGGGAGTGACCCAGGGATGTCGGGCGGGGGGGTGGGGGAGGGTGCCCACAAGAGGGACCTGAGTCCAGATCCTGGGGAGGTGGGGTCTGAGAGGCTCCCTGGAAGAGCCACACAGTTGGCTGCAAAGCCATCAGCCCCGCCCCGTGCGGTAGGGGCAGGGAGGCTACAGACTATCTCAGGCAGTGAGAACCTCTCCTGCAAAGGCCCCGTGACCAGAGCAAATGCCCCGCGTTTAGCAGACTGTGTAAGGGAGAAGCCTGGCTGCAGACACGGGGGGGGGGGGCACAGAGCCACCCCCCACCCCCGCCATGGAGCGTGCAGAGCTGTGAGCGCCGCCGGTCACGCTCATGCTGTAGGAGGAACCGCTCACTGCTGCATGCGCCATGTGGGGAGGGCCTGGACTGTTCCTGCAGCCAGTGAGCTCAGGCAGGGTCCTAACTGAGGGGCGACCACAGCAGCTCCCTCACCTCTGTAAGTGTGCTGGGCAGGGGAACAGACTACAGGTGAGCCGCGGTCCTGCAGGTGACCCGAACCCTGGGGCCAGGGCCTCCACCAGCCAGCGACCCTCATCGATGTATCCTTTCCATTTGCACCAGGACAAGAACTAGGCTGGTATCTTAAACCACACGTGTCCACACTGCAACTCCAGATGCTTCACTGTCCTCTCCCTTTTTGCTCCTCCCCACCAGCCCCCGCCAGTGACTTCAGCCAGAAACCTGAACCACCGTGGATCCCTCTCCTCGCTGCACCCCCACATCCAGCCCCTCAGCACGTCCTGCCACCTCCACCTCTACAGTGTGTCACCAACCACCCACTGTAGTGCTCTGGCCCAGGCAGCCACCACCTCTGGCCTAGAAGACAAACACGACCTCTCCCAAATGAGTCATAGCAACGAGAAAATTTTTTTTTAAAGAATATAAACCAGATCACAACACTCCCCTGCTTAATTAAAACACTCCTGTGACTTCCCACTGTGCTTAAAAAAGCAAACGCACTTTCCTTATCAAGGGTTCAGGGCCCTGCATCCCAGGCCACTCTCCAAGGCCAGGCAAGCAGGTGTGCAGCCAGAGCTGGGGGCAGGCCCGGGCCCTGGCAAGGCCCCTCCACTCCAGGGCCTGCATTCACGCAGACCCATCTGCGGGACGCAAGCCCTCCTGGGGCTCTGGCTTCCTCAAGTGATGAAGCCCACCCAACCACAAGCAGACACCCCTGCCGGTCCTGTCAATCTCCATCCCACGTAGGCTTCCTTCCTCGCATTTATCATAGTCTAGGATTGTTTCACCAGGGACTTACATACTTGTCTGGGTCTGCCTCTGCTGTCCAACCCTCTGGCCCAGCTGAAGTGGGATGGCCAAGGTAAAGGCTGTCGTGCTGCCCCCAGCACAGCTCACGGTATGTTGGACACACCCACTGACAAGGTGGATAGAGAGTGGGGGAGTGGGGAGGGCAGACGCCCTGGCCCATTCAGGAGGAAGGGCATCTTTGCTGAGCCCCATGGGAAGGATCTGGTTCCTGGGACAGCAGCCCATGTTAATGCCTGGTAAAAAGAACAGCTAGAAACATCTGTGTTGAAGAGGAAGCGGACAGTGCCGGGGTGGGTGAGGCTGGAAGGAGTACAATACAGTGAGGCAGGGCTCACCTCCGCTAGCTGGGCAGGAAGCTGGTGCACCTGCCCACACCTCCCTGCGGACACACATGAGGTCTAGGGAGCCAGGAAGGGGCAGCGTGCTAAGTCCTGGGGAGGGAGACCACCTGGGAATTGGGAACAGATGATCAGTGGGCAGGACGTGGGAGGGGGAGCATCACAGATGACTTCCGGGTCCCCAACTCAGGTGGCTGGCTCTGGGTCTTGTTTTGTTCAGTTTCCTGAACTAGTGGAAACCACTTCGGAACTCCTTCTGGCCCTCCCTCTCTGTCTACAGCTGCTGGTTATGTGACCTTGGGCAGGCCACACAACCTTTCTGCACCTTGGTTTGTTTAGCCATCAAATGGGAGTATAAGAAGCAGCCTGGAGTGAGTGAAAGCTGCAGGACCTCGAA